AGTATAGAATAAAAAAAATGTTGAAAAAGCAGTATAACATTTTAAAAAATCCAGTCAGTAACGAGTCCAAGGAGCCCTGGTGGCATGGTGGTCAAGTTCTCAGTTGCTAACCACAAGGTCTGTGCTTCAAATCCATCCTCTACCCCATTCTTTTCATAAACGTTGCTGCCTTGGGAATGCTATGGGGCATCTACTCGGCCCTGTAGGGTCTCTATGACTTGGAGTCTATTATGCAACAGCAGTGGGTTTGTTTTGTGTGCTTTTGGTTTTTCTAAAAGAAGGGGCTCGGTTTTTATTCATCATAGATGAGGATGGGGGAGTTAATGAACCAAATGGAGAAGGAAACCAGATGATCTTTAAGATTCCTTTCAAATCAAATATCTTGTGATTACAAGGAGTCAAAAAAGTATAACTGACTTTCCCAAATGTACTTGGCCTTCAAAGGTCAAGTCCAAATCAGATCTGGATGACCAAATCCAGCTAAGAGAGATTTTTCTCTCTGAAGACTCAAGACTTTATGTTTTAAAAAAAGAAAATAAAACAACCACTGCTCACACTCTCTACCAACCAAAACAAAGCAGATAAAACCCTAAAATAACAGCATCTGAACTTTTCATCAGTGGCACTAATTTTGGGTAACATTCGAGGGGAACATGGGTTTCCTGCCCAGTGGACGTCCCTGGAGGGGTGGGTTCTTGCAGCTGGTGGCTGGCACCTGGCTCTGCTGTGTCAGGCAAGTGGAAGTAAGCCGGCAAATCACCATGTGAAAACCCACCTTACTAGAAATTAGAGTTCAACTATTAAATGTAATTTTAAAAGATTCATAGCCAAAACTCAGTGTTAACAGCCTGTTGGAGAGACACGCCCATTGGCAAGGCACTTGGTGACCCAGGAGAGTGAGGGGTGGGGGTGGCAGTGGTGGGGGTAGGGAGGTCTGCGGAGGGTGTGGGCAGTGGCTGGCCATCTAGCTGATTCTCACAGCAACCCTGTAAGACAGGGTACAAGTGCTCAATTGGGTTTCCAAGCCTGAGCGCTAAAAAGCAAGGATGTCGGTTTAATTTACGCTGAGTTGGAAAAAGCTACCCCCCCCCCAATTACCAAAAAAAGCCAACTCCATCTTGATTAATTCCTTTTTTTATATTATTAAATTTTACTGGTTTTAATGAACATTTACAGAGATTTTGGGTTTTCATTCATTCATTGTTGCACTGTTTTCTCCACCCTCCTCCCCAGTTTGTTCTTCTTCCCCCGCCCCCGAATGTCTGTTTTAATTGTCCAATTGCCACAGTGCTTGTCAAAGCCAGTTCTGATTAATCTCCTTTGTCAATGTGTCCCTTGCCATTCTCTATCACTCCTCCCTGAGAGAGACTTCACCCTGATTCATAAGGAAAAGGGGATGGCGTATTCTCTTAGCTACTTCCTGCTGAAAAGGGACGCTGTGGGTTTCAGGGTGAAGGTCTTCTCTCACTACTCTAAAGGGCCCCTTTTGGCAGTAGGAAACACATAGACTATTATGGAGATTGATTTTGGAATTTAGATGCACTGTTATCAATTGTGCTTAGCAGTACATGTTCATATCCTTGAAGATGTATCATGGAAGTGTTGCAGCCTAGAAGATACAAATGTAACTAACAAGTTAAAAGTGCATGAGTCAAAAATTGAAAAGCAATAATATTCTGAGTAGAGGTTCTAATAGTGGCACAAATCAAGTTACAGAGGGAAGGTGGTTCCATTGCCATCCTTACTCTAACTTAATTCTTTTTTTTAAATTTAAATTTGTTATTAATTTCAGTGAAAATTTACAGAGGCTTTGGATTTCCATTCATTCATTGTTGTAGATTTGTCCCCTCCCAAGGCTCCCCCCCACCAGACATTACCCTCTTGGAAAAGTAAAAGAAAAGATTCATTATTTTCAAACCCTCCCCCAGGTCCACTCCACCATGTAGCCATCGCTCTAGACTCCTGTCATGACAGAAATACCTAATTACATATCTCTTTTAAACAGTTTTCTCCCTTCTCTGTTTCAGTGCAGTATACATTATTGAACCCATCTTACTCAGTCTCTCCCCAACCCCAAGGACAGTCCCATTCTACAACAGTGGCACCATGCAATATTTGTCCTTTTGTGACTGGGATATTTCACTCAGCATAATGTTCTCCAGAGTCAACCATTTTGAATAATATTGCATGAGTTCCTTGTTTTTTAATGCAGCATAGTATTCCATTGTGCGGATATACCACAGCTTCTCTAGCCATTCGTTTGTTGATGGGCACTTAGGTTGTTTCCATCTCCTTGCTATTGTGAACAAAGCTGCAATAAACATGGGTGTGCATATATCTGCTTGGGTGTCAGTTATGGTCTCTTCGGGGTATATTCCCAGTAGTGGTATTGCGGGGTCAAATGGTATCTCTATTTGCAACTTTTTGAGAAGGCGCCATACCGCCTTCCACAGTGGTCGCACCATTTTACAATCCCACCAACAATGAATAAGCGTTCCAGTTTCTCCACAACCTCGCCAGCATTTGTTGCTTGCTGTTCTGTTAAATTTTGCTATTTTGACTGGGGTGAGATGATATCTCATAGTTGTTTTAGATTGATTCCTTTTTATAACCATTTTTAAAATGACAGAATTACAGAAGTGGAAGATCAGCACATTTTGAAAAGAGAAAAAAAAACAAACAGAAAACCCAACCCTAAAACGTGACCAGCAGGCTTGCTGTGAGCCATTTTGTGGAAAATCACAATTCAGATCAGAGGGATGGAGAAAAGTTGGAGTTTCGAGTCAATAGAAATCTTTTTTCTTATAATAGTAGGTTTTAAAAAAATTTATTATCAAATGGCAAAAACCATCACCTTAAAAGTTACATAAAGGGGGGGGGGAATAAAAGCAACACAGAGCTTTTTCTTCTTGCCTTGCATTGGAAAGACTACCTCTTTGGTTTTTCTTTTACCTCCTGAGTCAAAGAATTTTAGCAGTAAGTGCAAATTTCATATACACGGTTATGAAAATACTGCTATGAGATAATTACCCATATATGAACTTTAGGCTTTGCACTTAATCCTAGTGTTCACTCCCTTTCATATCTGTTTACACTATGTTCCTGTTACGGAGTGGAGATGGATCTCCTGTATACAGTGCTTCATCATGAATAAGTCAATACCTATTCTGTTTCTAGGATTTGTGTGTGTGTGCATGAAAACACTTAAAAAAAAAGATATTAAAAAATTGCCTTTTTTCCAGACACCAACTTCTCCTTACATCTCCAGCAGGTGGCAGGAGCGGTCCAAGGATGAACCACACCCTATCTCCATTCCGCAGGATGGTCCCGCAGTGCCCAGCGGCAGGTGTGGCTCTAAGCATCAGTCCTGCCCGCTTAGGGACCTCGAACACCAGGACTGTCCTCTCCATGGCCAAGGCAAACAAGCCGCTGTCCGGCCAGAAGAGGGTTAATCATCCGCATTCCAGAGCCAGGGAAAGGGAGGCTGGAGGGTCACAGACGATGGGAGGGAATGTGAGGCCCTCCTTCTCACAGCACTGCTGGCTCTGCTGGGAGAGATAGATCACGCCAACAATGGCCACAGCTGTTTTCGTCTGCCCCGAAGGAAACTGGCTGAGGAAGCAGGTATCAGAAAGGGCCCTTCCTGCAGGGGCTTCTGTCTGCCTTGTAAAACTGTCAGAGCAGCTGCATTCATGTGCCTGGTGATAGATGGGGAGAGAAGCAAGGACAGACGACCACAGATGGACACAGCGACTGGCAAGTCGGGGCAGGTGGCAAAGGCCTCGCAGAGACGTGCAGGTGGGATGTGCTGATTCATGGCCCAGTTAACATACCGAGGGGGTCTCGGCCGCAGCCCCCTTCCCAGTCTCCCTTCAGGGCCAGGAGGGCCTGGGTGCTCAGACAATCCATCTCTGCTGAGCGCTTCCGCCAGCCTCGCTTTCTTTTCTTGCACCTCAGGTGTAAGCCTCTCCCCTCCTTCAGCTCCGGGGCTGAGGGGGCAATTTCTCTGTGTCCAGTCGGTATGCAATGATGTTTAAGTAGAAGTAGCCTCAAAGCTGTTTTTGAAAACTATCCTGAGTTAAGAGACTAGATTAAAAAAAAAAGTCAGTGCTAAAAATGTTGGTCTTGACTTTTGCTAAGAAAAGGGATTTGGGGCTGTCCACTCCCACTCACAACCCGGCCAGAGAAATTACTGCCTTTGGCACGTCAGCCTGTCGGCCACGGACTATCCAGGCTGAGCAATGCCTGTTATCAGGCACCAGATCTGAGGAGTTGGCACTGAGGTTTCCTCGGAGCATTATGTGACCTGCTGGCCTTCGACTTGTAACCAGAATCCCAGCCCCTGTGCCCTAGCAGACACCTTCACTGTGGCTCTCCAATTCTCTCTTGCTGTACACCCTGAAGATTCTAAGTAGGGCTTTCTTCATTAGCATAACACACTCTCTACCTCAGGGAGTTGGGCCCACAGCAATGTCTTTGAAAGCATCTTTCTACCTCTGTCTGGGGTCAAACAGGCACCCCTTGGGCCACTGGTAAACCTGGCCTGAGAAATGGGATCACTTAGGCCATGCAGACAACTCAGAATGGTGCTTTTTCTCTTCCTTTGGTGGTTTGTCCGAGTTTGTTCTGGCTGCACAAGCCTGGGAAGGGTGAGGGTCAGGGGCACCTTTTGCTATCTGCAAACCTCAGCCACCTGCCTAGGTGAGGTGCTGGTGAGCAGGCTGGCCCTGCCTCTTATGCCTCCTCTTCTCTGGGTCACCTGGGAGCACCATCGGCAGTGTGGAAGTTGCTGAGTTTGAGGCAATGTCTGTGGGGAGGGCTTATTCTGAGCACACCCCTTTCCCTCCCCCTGGGCTGAAGGAAACGTGGGGCCAGCCCTGCCCCATCCTGTCCCCATTGGCTGGCATGAAGCAGAGGGGGGTTTAAAAAGGCCACCGTGCCTGGGCTGGGAACTGGAGCTGTGTTACTGGAAGGCAAGGTGCCCTCCTCTGACTGGCACCATGCAGCTCTCTCTAGCTCTGTGTCTCATCTGCTTGATGGTGCACGCAGCCTTCCGCGTGGTGGAGGGGCAAGGGTGGCAGGCCTTCAAGAACGACGCCACGGAAATTATCCCTGACCTGGGAGAGTACCCTGAGCCCCCGCCAGAGCCTGAGAACAACAAGACCATGAACCGGGCAGAGAACGGAGGGCGGCCTCCCCACCACCCCTATGAGACCAAAGGTATGGGGTGAAGGCTAGACCTTATCCCCTAAGGTCCTGGGGTGGGGCTAGTAGGATTGTTTTAGCATCTCCTCTTGGGAGGTTGGTGAGACTGGAATAGACCCTCAGCCTCTGCCAGCACCAGTGCAGGGGCTGTCTTGGCTGGTGACGGGAGGATGCCATGCCAACACAGTCTTGGAGTTTGAGTGCAGGAGGGGTGTGGGAGGGGGGCCAGGGGTGAGTGTGCCCAGCAGGAAGGAAGCCTAGGGGGATAAGAACGTGGCACTGGGATGGACTCAGGGGCTCTAGAAAAACAAGAGGCAGGTCCAGGTGCACCCCTGGGTGGGGGCGGGGACAGAATGAGAGGAGCTTCATACCAGTGGAGCACCTGCTGGATGCCAGACACTCCCCAGCCAGCCAGACTGGCCCATAGACCCACCTGGTAGATACCCCCGGAGGCGAAGCCCTGGGTTTAAAAGTGAGGAAATGGCCCAGAGATTAAGTAACTTGTTAGTGGGAAGAAGAGCTGAGATTTGAACTTGGTTTGATTAATTCCAGTACAGCGTGTGTGTGTGTGTGTGTGTGTGTGTGTGTGTGTGTGTGTGTGTGTGAATGCGAGGAAGGGGATGGGGAGATGGAGCAAATCCCCCGAAGGCAATGGAGGGAGAAGGGTCAGAGAGGCATCTCTTTAGGTCTGCCCCTGAGCTGGTGCTCACTGGCCCAGGAGATGAAGATCAAGTTGGAGCACCTGACACATGTAGCAGCTGAGCCCAGGATCTGGAAGGCAGCAGCATCCTTTGTGCAGGTCGCTCCAGTCTATCCTGACCACCTGGCAAGCCTTGCCTCATTCCTGGGGAAGGAGCCCAAACTGGGGAGAGTGTGTGATGGCCCAGGGGGGACCACCCCTGGATCCCTGCTCAGGTCTGCATGGGGATCGTGGGGTGGGGTGTACAGGTGGCTCTGAGCTGCAGAGATGAATGAGGGCTGGAAGGACTCTATGAAGGACTCTATGTCCATGACTCTGTGAGCTCTTTCTAAGGCTCCTAAACCCCCTTCTTCAACTCATATCTGACTAGGAATATGGGGCTCCAGAAGAGGTAACCCCAGAGGAGGACAATTGGACACTGGGGCTTCGAAAGTGAAGAGTCACCCCTTCCCCTGGCGTAAAGTCAAGCAATACCTCAATGGGTTGCAGAGTCACTGTACCTTGGGCAGTCACTTCCCTGGGTGCCCGTGAGAAGCTCTGAGGAGACCACATGCCCAAAACAATGTCACCCTCTTCAGAGGAAGTGCCTGACCTGGAGGCACTATTCTTGGAAAGCCCCAAATGCCACCTTCTCTGGGCAAACAAGCCACCTCCACACACCACCCCTGCAGCCTCCAAGGTGTGAGGATGCCAAGCCAGCCCTGATGCCAGCCCGCTAGCTGAAGGGAGATGGGACAGTGCCACCCCTGCCCTGTGGTGTTTGCTCCTCTCCAGGGCTGAACTGCCCTTGGTCATCCTTTTGTGTCATGGTGGGACTATCCCCATGAGACTCTGGGGAGTGGACAGGAACTTGCATGAAGACCAGATTTTTAAAGATGTGCCCACACGTCCATGGTACGTGACATGCTCAAGATGTGAGCAGAGGACCAGGTCAGGCCTCAGAGTTCCCCAGAGGGCAAATCCGGATCATCTGATGTCTATTCGGATGATACAGATAAGAAACTTGTCAGCAGCATGTCTGGTGCCCAGCAGGTGCTCAATAAGTGCTTGAGGCAGGTTGACCCATAGGTTTCGTCAGAGCTCAGGTCTCTGATAGGGAAGTACCCTGCCCAACCCAGTCCAGCCTCCCAGTGGGTGCTCTGGCACACAGCTTCCAGCCTTATGGGAACCAAAAGGTGCTGGAGCTCCAGGGATATGTGACTCTGCCACAGCTGCTGAGCCCCTTTGGGGCTGAGCCTCTCTGAGCCCCGGTTTCCTCATCAGTGTCAGTGGTGTTAGTTCCTTTCAGGTCTCTGGTTTAAATTCTTATCCTGACCACCCCCCTTCCTAGTCTGCACTTCTGAAACACCTGCCTTTGATTTATTAGCTTCAATAACCCCCATTCCTTTCTCCATCCCCTGCCTACTCCTCTCAGGTGACTAGAAAGGAATTTGAGAGAGGGCAGAGCTAGGCAGAGGGTGTGTGGTTAGCCCAAACCTGGGACTCAGTGGCACAGGTGGGCAAGCTGGCTGAGACGTTCTCCTGGAGAGGAAGGAATAAGAGTTAACAGTTTCAGTTCTTGCTCTGTGCCAAGCAGTGTTCTCTGCGTTATATATGGAATAGATTATTCATTGAATCTTTGGGGCAACCCATTTTACAGCTAGAAAGCACAGAAAAGTTAAATGCCTTCCCAAGGCCAGTCACACAGGTATTACGTGTTGGAGGCGAATTTGAAAACTGCTCTCTCAGCCATGTTGCCATACTGAGGAGGAGGGCAGGCTGGAGATCTTTTCACTAGCCATCTTGGACCTGCCCTGCTCAGTAGGGCAGAGAGTCAGGAGAAGCGGGCACAGGTTCGGGAAAGGTGGTGGGGAGAGAGCCGTCTGGGCGGCCGCCTGCCCGGCTCACGCGCGCCTCTCTCCGCAGACGCGTCGGAGTACAGCTGCCGCGAGGTGCACGTCACCCGCTTTGTGTCCGTCGGGCTGTGCCGCAGCGTCAAGCCGGTGACCGAGCTGGTGTGCTCCGGCCAGTGCGGCCCAGCGCGCCTGCTGCCCAACACCATCCGCCGCGGCAAGTGGTGGCGTCCGAACGGGCCCGACTTCCGCTGCATTCCCGACCGCTACCGCGCGCAGCACCTGCAGCTGCTGTGTCCCGGCGGGGCGGCGCCGCGCGAGCGCAAGGTGCGCCTGGTGGCCTCGTGCAAATGCAAGCGCCTCACCCGCTTCCACAACCAGTCGGAGCTCAAGGACTTCGGGCCCGAGGCCGCGCGGCCGCAGAAGGGTCGCAAACCGCGGCCCCGCGCCCGGGGCGCCAAAGCCAACCAGGCCGAGCTGGAGAACGCCTATTAGAGACAGCTGCGCCGTGCTCCCCTGCGGGCGCCCCCCGACGGAGGTCCTCGTGTGTTTCTGTCCCCTGTGCGTGGTTCGATTGTTTGTACTTCATTTTAAATACTGGCAGCCCAGGGGAAGGTAGCCAGACCCTGAGGAGTGCAGGGTGTCACCCCAGGTTCCTCCCCAAGCCCGCTGAAGGGGTCCTGCCCCGGCGGGGGGGCGGGGGGGGGGAGTTGAGTCACAGACACTGAGCCACGCAGCCCTGGCCCCGAGGCTGCTCTGCTTTGCTGGTCCCACTGCAGAAGGGACAGAAACGGAAGCCTTTTCACCATCCAGGGTCGTAAGGGGCAGAGAGGTGTGAGCACGGTTTGTAGGCTCACCCCTCCATCTCTCCGTGCCACCTTCGGCTCTGTGCTGCACCAACGTGACAGGTCTGGGGGTCTTTAGATAGGACCTCCTAGTCCTGACTGCCGCGAACTTGCTGTGTGTCCATGCACTGATTGCATCATTCCTTTGCTGGGCCTCGATTTCCTCATTTGTAGAACGGGAGTGGGGGAGGATTCCGATGGCGGAGGCAGCTATCTCACATGATTCCAAGGACTTGGGTGCCTTCGGATGGGCAGAGGAGACAGTGGGGTTGGATTGAATCACAGCTGAGATCACTTCCAGAATTCGGAGATGTGAGCCTCTGATCTGACAGCCAAAGATGAGAAACAAACAAGGGGGGAGGGAGGAGAGAGAGAGAGAGAAAAAAAAAAAGTCTATTTCTGGATGAGGAACTCCTGGAAGAAGCTGCGTTGTTCGCAAGCCTGCCCTCCCCAGATGGTTGGCTCCCTCGCTCCTCCATCTCCGAGGATGCAGAAAAAACATCTTCAATGGGGCTTGAGGAGGAGGGGGTCCCAAGAATGGGGGTGGGGGAAAAAAGAAATGGCTTTTCTTTACTTATTCCCAAGGAGCAGCATCTCCTCGCCCACCCCATGGCCAGACTTTAAAACCACCTTCTACAGAGATAACCCAAAGTCACAGCACACCGAGATCCAAGTTCAATGTTCAAAGCCCCTGCAGATCCCTTTGGGAGTCACCACCTTCTGCCCACCGCCCATAGTCCCATTTCTATTCCCCAAATCGCTTCTCATTGCTCTTACCATGGGATAACACAGTGTATGTTAAAAGAATATGATTGGAGGGGGGAAAATGACAAGTGCTGTACATATGCTGAGAAACTGCAAAGCATACTAAGTTAGCTGCCACCCAGAACTCTTCTTGAAAACCATTTCCAGACACCTCTTACTTTCTGCATAGTTCCTAAGTGTTAACTTTTTTTTTTTTAAGCAGAAGCACATGCCAGGCAGAAGCCTGCCTGGCCTGTTTGCTTTCGCAATCCTCCCACATGGCACTTGTACACAGGAATGAAAGTAGTTGTTTTTAAAGAGTTAAGTTACGTATTTATTTTCTCACGTAAGTTATTTATGCAAATGTTTTTCTGGTAGAGAATGACAACGGTAATATTGCTTTATGAAATAACAGCCTGTTCTTTCAGAACCCAGAGGCATTGTGAATAAAGACAATGAATCATTACAGAGAGGATGTGGTCTCGTTTTTGTCAACCACACACAATGCCATTTCTGTCAAAGTTAACACCCATCTCTCAGTGTCTGGGGCTTCAGCCTCCGGGACACCTCTGACTACTTTCTGGTGAACCCTAGTGACAATTATGTCTTTTCTTTGTAGAGTCATGTTCGTCTCTTCCTTTCCAAACCCAGGCCTCACTCCTCAGCCCAGTTATTGCAATAACCTCATCCTGGTCTCTAGCATCTGTCCTCCACATGGGCCTTCCAAAACCACTGTTCTGGTTATGTCATACCCTTGTTCAAGAGCCTTCGTAGCTCCTCCCTGCCCATGATCAAGTTTAGGTTTCCCAGTCTGACCTTGCCCTGCTTGGTTCCCGTCCTCCACTGTTCCACACTTCCCTTCTTCCTCCAAGGGACCACTCGCTCTGCTGACTCTTGCCTCCTTAGTTTGACACCTCGGTTTACCACCCACAGCAACTCCCACTCTTTCTTGTTATCTCTTCTCTGCCCTCCACCTCCAAATGCTCCTCTCTTTCTCCCTCTCTTCAGATGTTTGAGTCTCCCTTTAAAAATGTGTTTTGTTGTTGTTTTCAGGAATATACACAGCAGAACCCAAGCTCCTTCTGTTCATGTCGTCACTTTAGTTTCTAATTCTGTGTCCTTCATTTGGGAGAACACGCCTTCCATTCAGGCAGAACTGGTCTGGTCTAGCCAACTGTTGCTTGGTCCTGGGGTGAACACGAAGGCCAATAATATCGGAATAAGCACCCGGGGCCTCAGCTGAGCCAATGTGGTTCTTTTCTCCAGATGCGGATTTCACGTCTCCTTAATGAGGACGTAGTCTTGTTGTTCGGTACCGACGAGTTTGAACCGACCCATAGCTGACTCTCCAGCAGGGTTTCAGAGGCTCTAAATTGCACAGGAGGAGAGTACCCATCTTTCTCCTGCAGGGCAGCTGGTGGATTCGAACCACATGCCTTTGGGTTGGCAGTGCAAGAGACAATGTCTCACATTTCTCTGAAAGTTTATCCTTCTCAGGAGCCTGCAGCGATGGGTTCAAGGATAGCAATCGTTGTGAGAATGGCACAGGATTGGGCATGCTTCATCCTATTGTGCGAAGGGTTCCTGTGAGTTATCACCAACTCGAAAGAACAGCAAAGCTTCCTAACAGTGTTGGATGCTGACTGGGACTCAAGAAACGTGCAACTACCCTAAGGAGAGATGATCACCTGTGAAGCTTTAAACAAAGTCCTGTCTGCTTTGGAGTAGCCTTGCCCTGGGATCCTGCTGAGGCGCTTCCAGACTATGTGTCTGTTCAATGCCCACCAAATACTCCTAAATGCATTAACTCCATCCAGCCTTTGATAGATATAAACTGGTGGTGCTGTCTGGTCGCTCGCCATGGAACAGGGGGCTTGGGGAGGGGGACCCCTCTACTCCATCATGAGGTACTTCCTAGAGAGCATTTACCTTGAGAGACAATGTGGGCCAGTGGGTGGGAGCAGGCCTACACTTGAACTTGAGGAGTCTGCTGCAATGAGGGGTTAAGGGTTTTGCTCATAGGCAAACTATCAGGTCAATGTGTTCTGCATCAAGTGTTAAGGGAACCAGGGACACGTGTCATTTGCACAGTGGCAGGGATGAAAGTTAAGGGTTAGGGAAGGTTTCACAGAGGTAGGTGCTACCAGAGAAGGAGGCCTCGGCCTTCAAGGTGGAGGGCACAGCTGAGCAAAGGCCCCAAGGCAACAATTGCATGGCTGGGTCTGGATGGATGCAGGCCAGCAGCTTCTCAGTGTGTACCAAGTCCTCACCATGCAGAGCAGCCCGGGGAACCAGCCATTCCAAGCAATGCCCAGATCCGAGCTACATCAGGGTCTTTCTGGACATGAGACTCAGGAGGGACTGACCGGGGCTATAATCCCAATACCACGAGAGTTAAAAAAAAGGAAAATAAAATTGAATTGTAGGACTAGTTGGAGGTTACTATCTACATGAGGTCTGTGTGTCCAGCACTCATCAAAATGGAATAGATAACAGACTGGGTTGGTGTGTGCAGGGGGTGATCTGGGGACACGGCCAGGTGGGAGCCTGTATTAACAGTCTGAGAGTCAAGCATAGAAAGGGAAACTGGTCTCTCTTACTCATCTCTTTCTCACACATTGAAAAACCCATCCTCACTGTCACCAAGTCAATTCTGACTCCGTGCAAGCCTGGCAGGCAGAGCAGAACTGCCTCTTGGGTTTACAGGGTGCTCCTGATTCAGGCCAGGGTCTTCTCAATTGCTTGCTATGCATCTGAAAGCTGGGCCGTGACTAAGGATGACAGATAATGGATCGATGCCTTGTTCTGCTGGAGAAGCATATTGAACATATCATGGACTGCTAAGAGAACGAACAGATCTCTCCTAGAGAGGGTGAAACCAGGTTGCTCCTTGGAGGCAAGGACTTTGAAGCTCAGTCTCATATACATTGGGTATGTGGCCAGGAGAGACAAGTCCTTGGAGAAGGACATCATGCTTGGAAGAGTGGAGGGTCAGCGCAGGAGAGGAAGACCTTGGATGAGATGGATTGACACCATGACTGTGGCAATGTGGTTAAGTGTGTCAAAGATGGTGAGGTTGGTTCGGGATAGGGCAAAGTTCACATCTGTTGTTCACAGGGTCACTATGAGCTGTACTCGATTCAATAGTCTGCTGTTAGGGACCTCGCTAAAGTACTCAGGAGCAACGGTGTCCCTCTGGAGATTAAGGTGCGCATGATACAGGCCATGGTATTTGCATTCGCTTGTTATGCATCAGAGAGTTGGACAATGACTAGGGAGGACAGAAGGAGAGTGGATGCTTTTGAGCTGTGGTGCTGGAGAAGAGTACTGAATGTACCATGGACTGCCAGGAAAACAAACAGATTCATCTTGGAGAGGATTAAACCAAGCTACTCCTTGGAGGCAAGGATTCTGGGGCTTCGCCTGACATACTTTGGACATGTTGCAAGGAGGGACGGGTCCTTGGAGAGGGACATCATGCTTGAGAGGGTGGAAAGACAGCGCAGGAGGGGAAGACCCTCTATGAGATGGATTGATTCGGTGACTGGGGTAATCGGGATGGGTGTGTCAGGGGCAGTGCGGTTGGCGCAGGATAGAGCAGGGTTTAGGGCTGTTGTACATAGGGTCGCTATTAGTCGCAAACGACTCGACAGCACATAACAACAACAACAATAACAACAACAAACTTTACAGAAGCTGACTGCCATGTCTTTAACCCACAGAGTAACTGGTTTGAATTGCTGATTTTTTGCTTGACAGGACAGCCAAGTGCACCCATCACCTTTGTGCCACACCCCTATGGGGCCTTGACTATATTTCTAGAACAGGTAAGGCTATTAGCCTATTGTCCCAGCACCCACTTTCATGCGCAGGAATGTTCTGGTTTGGACAAGAAAAGCTCTGGTT